ACTATAAATATAGCTTTAAATGTGAAGTGTTTAGCTTTTGGATGTTAGATTTTTAAAGCTATCCCTGTTTGATATGTAAAGACAACTACTGTATGAGTAAATATAAAGCTTATTTCCCTAAAAAGTGTGGCATCCGACTCAACCAATGGCGTGTGTTTGGGGTGGGACTATATGTTTGGTCAGCAAATGACAGAAGGGGTGGGGAAGTGTTCAGAAAGCTTGAATTTAGTGAGGCTAGTGGTGCAGGAACGCAACTTTAATCTTACAATAACATTTTAAATAACTTGGCCTTCAATTTTTCCCAATTTTGAAAAAAAATTGTGGAGTAACATAAACAAATAATTCATGTGAAGCCATGGCTTTTCTGATGTACTTATCACTGCATTTTACCAAGGCTTTTATCCACCTTATTTTGCATCACAGAAGTAAGCAATATTGTCTGTGAATGTGCGAGACTTCTTGAGCAGCTCTGGGTAATTAACTAGAAGAGTAACAAAGTGCAAACTATTTGTGCTTTAACCAGTGTTTATGAATAGGATTAAAATAATAACAAATACAGTTTGCAATATCAAGCAGCATAATATGAAAGCCTGTTTCTGCCGCTGAATAAAAAATGTAAAAAGTAATTGTGACTGTTAGGGTTATGTTTAGTTTTTGTTCTGTTTTCATTGTGTTTTCAGTTTATCTGTTCCCCTGTGACCTAGTTTTACTTTGGCTCCTAATTGTCATTTCGTTCACCTGTGTTTGATTAATTAACTCATTAGTTCTTTCGTTTGCTTCCCTACAAATACTCTCAGTTTTCCCTTAGTCGGAGTCCATTCTCGTTTATGTAATGTTGGTCTACTTGCCTGTCTCCTGGATTTACTGATTAAATTACCTTTTGTATATCTCCTTCGTCCTCGTGTGTGTGTACCTCACCAACCTGTAACAGCGACATTATATCTCACAATTATGACTTTTTTCGCACAATTGTGAGTTTACATCTGGCAAATCTGACTTTTCAGAATTGTGAGGAAATATACTCACAATTGCTAGTTATAAAGTCCAACTCTGAGGAAAAAATACTTATAATGCAATTGCTTGTTATCAGAAATGTGAGATATAAATGCACAATTGTGGAAAAAAAGTCAGAATTGCAAGAAAAAAACATTTATAACAAATAAAAAGTCAGAAATGCGAGTTTAAATCATGCAATTCTGAGAAAAACAAAAAATCAGAATTGTGAGATAAAAAGTTGCAATTACCAAAATTCCACATTCAATTTACAAATGGTCCGATCTTACGTTAAACATAAGGTGGGTAAAATAGCAATAAATAGCTAAAATTAGTA